ATATGATATAATTGGTATCAGTAAAATGTATAATCTACAATAAAATCTCGTTTAAAATGGTGTTACGATGTCTAAAGTTACTGATAAGTCACATGTTTCCTGCCTGGCCTTGCCCGTGTATCCAGGGCCGCCCCTCCCTACAGGCCAATCACGCAGGCTGCATGGGGCCCCGCCTTGCGCAGGGGGCCCCGCCCAGAGAGCCTCAGCTGCTGTGCGCAGTTCTCCGCTCAGTTCTCATTTGGACTACCTATGTTGCAAATGTATTATCTTTTCAATTTACACACGGCATCTATTGCACGTCTGTCCGTCCTGGGAGAGGGATCCCTCCTCTGTTGCTCTCCCTGAGGTTTCTCCCATTTTTCCCTTTAAACTGTGGGTTTTCTCCGGAAGTTTTTCCTTGTACGATGTGAGGGTCTAAGGACAGAGGGTGTCGTATTGTCATACTGATATTCTGTACAAACTGTAAAGTCCACTGAGACAAATGTAACATTTGTGATATTGGGCTATATAAATAAACATTGATTGATTGATTGATTGATTCTCCCCCCCCCCCCCCCCGCGAGAGTGAGAGGTGACAAGGGGAGCACGTCTGTAACCCGACACCGTTGCAATGAATCGACATCTGACCAATCACGGCTTTGATACGGCCACTAGTGCAGGTGAAGAGAAGTCGGTGAAAAGACAGTTTCAGTCCGGAGCAAGCAAGAGGGAAAAAAACTAAAACATGAAGAAACTAGAGCATCACTCGAAGGTGGGTTATTGTATGAGTCAAATGTACAACTTGCGAATGTTGTATAAGTCAAATTGCCAATTGCCATTAAAACATCAGCTACAATTCAGGACATGAAGAAGGCAGTCTCTGCAGAGCATATAGGCTAATGGAGATGCAGTTATTTCCAGCATTCTTTATTTACCATTCATTCAAGTATGTGATGCCTTGTATCTGCTAATGTACAGGAGGAAGAGTGATACACTGTCTGTCTAGTTGGCTTACATAACAGTTCAAGTTTACAGCTTAAAAAACATGGAGCATTTTTTCCCCTTTTATTCATTTTTATGTCAATTTGCACATTTCATGGTGATGCTCAGCCTCTCCCCTTAACTCCTAACAGTCATCATCATGGTGACGCTCAGCCTCTCCCCTTAACTCCTAACAGTCATCATCACGGTGAGGCTCAGCCTCTCCCCTTAACTCCTAACAGTCATCGTCATGGTGACGCTCAGCCTCTCCCCTTAACTCCTAACAGTCATCGTCATGGTGACGCTCAGCCTCTCCCCTTAACTCCTAACAGTCATCGTCATGGTGACGCTCAGCCTCTCCCCTTAACTCCTAACAGTCATCGTCATGGTGACGCTCAGCCTCTCCCCTTAACTCCTAACAGTCATCGTCATGGTGACGCTCAGCCTCTCCCCTTAACTCCTAACAGTCATCGTCATGGTGACGCTCAGCCTCTCCCCTTAACTCCTAACAGTCATCGTCATGGTGACGCTCAGCCTCTCCCCTTAACTCCTAACAGTCATCGTCATGGTGACGCTCAGCCTCTCCCCTTAACTCCTAACAGTCATCGTCATGGTGACGCTCAGCCTCTCCCCTTAACTCCTAACAGTCATCGTCATGGTGACGCTCAGCCTCTCCCCTTAACTCCTAACAGTCATCGTCATGGTGACGCTCAGCCTCTCCCCTTAACTCCTAACAGTCATCGTCATGGTGACGCTCAGCCTCTCCCCTTAACTCCTAACAGTCATCGTCATGGTGACGCTCAGCCTCTCCCCTTAACTCCTAACAGTCATCGTCATGGTGACGCTCAGCCTCTCCCCTTAACTCCTAACAGTCATCGTCATGGTGACGCTCAGCCTCTCCCCTTAACTCCTAACAGTCATCGTCATGGTGACGCTCAGCCTCTCCCCTTAACTCCTAACAGTCATCGTCATGGTGACGCTCAGCCTCTCCCCTTAACTCCTAACAGTCATCGTCATGGTGACGCTCAGGCCTCTCCCCTTAACTCCTAACAGTCATCGTCATGGTGACGCTCAGCCTCTCCCCTTAACTCCTAACAGTCATCGTCATGGTGACGCTCAGCCTCTCCCCTTAACTCCTAACAGTCATCATCATGGTGACGCTCAGCCTCTCCCCTTAACTCCTAACAGTCATCATCATGGTGACGCTCAGCCTCTCCCCTTAACTCCTAACAGTCATCATCATGGTGACGCTCAGCCTCTCCCCTTAACTCCTAACAGTCATCATCATGGTGACGCTCAGCCTCTCCCCTTAACTCCTAACAGTCATCATCATGGTGACGCTCAGCCTCTCCCCTTAACTCCTAACAGTCATCATCATGGTGACGCTCAGCCTCTCCCCTTAACTCCTAACAGTCATCATCATGGTGACGCTCAGCCTCTCCCCTTAACTCCTAACAGTCATCATCATGGTGACGCTCAGCCTCTCCCCTTAACTCCTAACAGTCATCATCATGGTGACGCTCAGCCTCTCCCCTTAACTCCTAACAGTCATCATCATGGTGACGCTCAGCCTCTCCCCTTAACTCCTAACAGTCATCGTCATGGTGACACTCAGCCTCTCCCCTTAACTCCTAACAGTCATCGTCATGGTGACGCTCAGCCTCTCCCCTTAACTCCTAACAGTCATCGTCATGGTGACGCTCAGCCTCTCCCCTTAACTCCTAACAGTCATCATCATGGTGACGCTCAGCCTCTCCCCTTAACTCCTAACAGTCATCATCATGGTGATGCTCAGCCTCTCCCCTTAACTCCTAACAGTCATCATCATGGTGACGCTCAGCCTCTCCCCTTAACTCCTAACAGTCATCATCATGGTGATGCTCATGAAACAGTAGATTGCACTCTCTGCTGCGAGAGGAGGTCAGCAGAATCTGGCTTCCCTTGGTGAAAAAAAATGGAGGGATTGAGCAATCAGATGAGGCTCACGTGATGCCCCTGCTAACCTGTGATTGGTCAGGGCCATGCCAAGGGAAGCCAGAGGCGGCTGGCTTCCCTTGCCTCACAATCCAATCAAATCGCATCAACTTAGTGTTGCAGTGACGCGTCCTAAGATCCGGAAGTAAGCTGCGCTCGGTTTCCCTCCACAGAAAGCAATGGGATTTCTCCATAGGATTTAGGAAAATAGCTCGAAATAAGGTCAGTGGAAAACAAACCTGTTAGATAAATGCACGTTGTGTTCAGTCGGATAATATCCACATGTCTACCCTGCTTTTATCATTTTCGAATCATAAATCTAATCGATAGAAGATAGATAGCGTCACTGCACCACTCTCACCGCCGTTAGAAAGTAGCAAGCAACTGAAGCAAGTGCAATTATGGAGGGTGGAGATTTGGAGTATTTACTCAAAAATAATTGTACTATACTTCCGCTACAGCAGCAACAACAAATACAATCTGATGACAGGCCGATGCCCAAACTGGAGCTGTGTACAGCGAGGAACAAAGGAGCGAGTCGGACGTAAAACGTTAAAGGTCTCCTGATTTAGTTTGTGAATGAATGCTTATTAGAGTTTGGGCTGGAGAGTGCGTGCGGACCTGTCGGTTAGATAACAGGCGTGTGTAAGTCCTGCATCTGATACAAATGTGTGTAAAATGATACCGGGTGCTGTAATCACTCATCTGGTTACGTTATTACATTGACCACCACACCCCCGACCCAAAAGAAAGGACGTATTATTGGCTTCCCCTCATTTTTTCCCCACGCCACGCTACTGACCGAAACATGATTTCAGCCAATCAGCGTCGTCAAATCTGATGGTCACAGGGCGCCTTGTCAGTGCCCGGTGCAGTCTGTGAGTTGTTTGGACTCGTATCCAAGGAGACAAAACAGGGAGCTGTCATTTGCTCTGGAAGCTATCATTAGCCAACACACTCTCACTCCCTAAGCGTCCAGGAGCGACGTTTGGTCAGTGTCCGTGGCGTCCAGTTGTGACGCTCCTAGGCTCCTTCAGCTTCATGTAGGGACGCAAATAGCTTTCAACTGATTGCAATGTATTCCCATCTGCGGCGGGATTTGACGCTCATGGAAGCACGGCATTCGTTTGTGTCGGCTGCCCTTAAAGGCAATGTGAGCGTCCATTGCCATTGGATAACGGAGAATTGTACACCCGGAAGTAAGTATTCCTCTTACTGTCGATTGATTTTACAGTGATATCTGCACTACTCATCGACTAAGAAACACCAGATTATCCTTGTTAATTACACAACATTGATTGGTTTAAATTGTGTGCAATGCTTTTGTATTTTTCCCCTTCGATTCGGAGAAACAAATGTTTTTTCGGAGTAAAGGATGGCAGAAGACACTACACTACCCAGAATCCCCAGCTATCGTTTGGACTACACCTACTACACCTTCGGGTCTTCTGGGTTGAGAAAGCCTCATTTGGGGGACCGGAGCCTGTCATCCAATCAGATCAGAGCACCTTAGATCAATTCAAGCCAGTGAACCAACCACCCAGATCCCCCCACCACAAATACTCTGTGACTCCCCCTGCTGGCTGCATGCTTGATATGACAGGTAAAGAGATGTTATGAACTTGTGAAAAGCAAAGAATAAGCAGGACATCTCAGTCATTGAGCACCTCTCCTCCAAGGAAATTAGGACTAATTACTCCTGCAGCATTTGATCTGTATTTTTGAAAATTATGTAACTTTTTTTAGCATATTGTTTATTATATTATAACTTAGTACTTTTTTAACGCATGTAAGATATGCAACACTAAGCTGTCTGTGGCTCTTTCCTGCTGTAACGCTGCACAGTCCCCCTCTGTGGGACTAAAGGTATTCTGATTCATTTATGTACTATGTGTATTTTCAATGCAGTGTTTTTATATGTATTGTTCAAACTATTTAAAATAAAGTTTTCTAAAAAGGCAAAAGGACATCTCCTTCATTGTCAAAAGCAAGGAATAAGCAGTCAGAGATATTCAAGTTTAAAAATACCTTTATATTTATTTATTTACAAGTTTTACAAATTAAAATTAGGAAGACTTTTTGTTCAGGATTGCGGCCTTCTTCTTCTTCTTCTTCCTGCTGACCCTCTGTCGGTCCCTCAGCATTTCCTTCTCCGTCTTCCCTCCCCTCAACTCAGTGAGCCACTGCTCCACTGTGCGGTTCTGGGGGTCAGAAACCTGGCAGAAACTCTGCCTCGTGGGGCGGTGCATGCTATGCCCCGTCGCCCGGGTCGTTCTCTGGCTGCATAGCGTGCAGGTGCGGTCACGCCTGGTAGGGAACACACCGGCTGCAGCAGAGGCCATCTTTATTTGCAACCTCCACCCTGTGGTCTTCGGGACGTTGACCTTCAGCCACTGATCCAGGGTCATTCCTGAAGTGGCACGGCAGAAGGTCAAGCCTAGGAGGGAGAGGTGCTCAATCACTGAGATGGAGCCAAAGATTGAAGTCACCTTCGCCTTAAGCTCCTCTATCCTCGTGAAGGACTCCAGGACGTAGGTGGACAGAAGCCAGCCGCTGCTGGGGACAGTCACCATCTGTGGTGGAGGCTGAGGAGGAGGCATCTGCACACCTGCAACCTCAAACTTCCTGCAGGTGTTTAGGTAGTGGATGCTCCTCCTCATCCACTCTGCCGTGTGCTGCTCCACCAGGAAGGAGTGCAGCCGGCTGGCGCTGTTGCCGAGCGTGCGCCCCTTCATCTGAGCCAGCGCCTTCCGGTCACAAGAGAGCCTGCAGCACCAACACAGACGCAGAGGTGAACACATTACATTTTACATTACATTGCATTTAGCTGACGCTTTTATCCAAAGCGACTTACAATAAGTACATTCGACCAGGAAGACACAACCTTGAAGAAAACAGAATCATAAAGTACATCAGGTTTCATAGAGCCAAACATTTCAAGTGCTACTCAACTGGCTTTAGGTAAACCAGTCCTTTGTTAGTATTTAAGTGCTTCGTTAATAGTTCTAACGCTCGAAGTGGAGTCGAAAGAGATGAGACACCAAACCATCTCAATGCCCTTCAAACCCCACTGTGTCCTGCAGCGTGATGTTTACCTGTAGGTCAGCACAGCAGGGAAGAGCAGCTGGTGGTCCAGGTCCAGCTGGCTCCTGATGCTCGCAGACCAGCTGGCACACTTCTTTGTGCAGGAGCTGGGACAGAAAGGTTTATTGGTGTATCTGCTACTACTGATAGTTATAATCATAAATAATGTCTATGTAACCAAAGCATCAAGCACACACAGAGTGTTCTTGTAAATGTATCAGTACCTGCACTCCAGGTACTCCGTCCCCCTGTAGTACCACCCGTCCATGTCCAGAACTCTGCGCGCGGTCTTGTACAGACCTGTCAGCTTGTGTGCGCAGTTTGGACACTTCAGGTGGTACTTCCACCTCTTGTATGGAGCCCAGAGGAAGAAGGGCCGCTGGAAGAAAGCATCTGGGTAGGGCCGCTGGGAGTACTTCGGCCAGGGGCCTGGGGGGTGGTGCCACAGCTGGAGCTCCGGGGACAGGACGGGCCTCCCTGCCCTGTCAGCCACAAATAGAGCCCTGCTGACCCACTCGTGCTGCTCTGCAGGGAGGCTGCTCCTCCAGGCTGCCGGCAGGAGCAGCTGCAACACACACAGGTCACTGAGCTGCAGCTTCACACTACACACTGGTACTAGATGTTTACAACAACATTATTACAGACCTGAGGGGGAGGAGTGACTAGTCGCAGAGGAGGTGGTGCCTGAGTTGCCAGAGCTCTCTGCTGCTGGGCAGGACGAGGAGGCGGAGGAGGAGGAGGAGGAGAGGAGGAGGAGGAGGAGGAGGAGGAGGAGGAGGAGGAGGAGGAGGAGGAGGAGGAGGAGGAGGAGGAGGAGGAGGAGGTGGTGGTGGTGGAGGAGCAGGAGCTGTGCACAGCAGAAAAACACACTTGACATACCAAATAGATGTTATTATACAAAGCTTAATAACGACACAAAGCACAGACTTACCTAAAGCAGCCTCCACCTGAGCCGCTGCCTCCACCATCAGATGGTCGTCCTCGTCTTCTGAGGAAGCTGCAGACACAATTTAAAAAATGTTCACTCATCACACAACCCCTGACTGACACAGTAACACTCCACTGACATGATACATACACAGGACCGCTGGCTTTCTCTTCCTCCGCTGTTTGGGGGGAGATGTAGTGGAGGGGGGAGACAGCTGGGGAGGGTGGCGGCTGCTGATGCAGCTGAGGAGGCGACAGGCTGCTTCTCCTTGTCCCTTCTGTCGATATACTCCTTCAGCTGCGCCAGTTGGGACCCGGGCCTCCTGACAGACTGCTTCCTGAGCCACTTCCTGTACCTGACATTGAGATTGAGAGGCAACAGTTAGATTAATATCACATCAAGTATTTCTACAGCTAGTGATGAAAGTCCCACATGGCCTTACGTGCTTGGCTCCTTCTCCACAGTCTCGTACATCTCCCTGTACGTCATGGCTGTGAAGGCCCCAAAGCCCACCAGCTGTTCGTGTTCTGCAGCCGTGCCCGGTGCTCTCTTCCTGCTCACAGCTGCCATCACTGCGGTGAAGAGCCCGGCGTACTCCAGCAGAGCATCCTTGTTCCACATGAGGGGGGTGCAGCTGACATCCCCCCCCTCACGCTCTCCCTGATGCCCTGCCAGAATTGTTGCCGTGTAGCCCACGTCATTGGACAGCAGCCACTGGAAAGTCTGACCCCGGTACTGACCGAACTGGAGCTCTGTCTGGCTGAGGAGCTGCCAGCGGTCCGCCGGGTTCCCCCCCAGCAGTGAGACCCTTGACGCAGCTTGTGTCTCAGCCAGCTCCCTGGTGCTGGAGGTGAGGCTGCCCTCTTGCTGTTAGCTTTGGAGACTCTGACAGCTTCTTTGCTGGCCTTCAGCTGCAGCTCTGATGTACCAGCCTGGAAGGTGAAGGACGGTTTGTGATCCATTCTTCTGAAATCACATCAAAAACAGTTCAATCAAATCAAGTTTTATTTATATAGCACATTTTTAAAACGATTTTTGGTGGAGCCAAAGTGCTGAACATGCAATAAAAAACATTATTACAATAGCAAACAGAAGACAATAACTTACAACAGCAAAAATAAAAATCACACACTCAGCTCTGACTCAGTTATGCCCCGGCCACACGAGGACGAAAACGGCCGTTTGCGTTACTGTTTAGTGTCATATAGACCAGTGGTTCCCAACCTTTTTTGAGTACTGTACCCCCAAAGCATTTCAAGCCAACCTAAAGTACCCCCTACTACGCAATCAATCGTGGTGATCCCCAGGATATATTAATAGTCTATATATTGTGGCAGACCGGCTGTGTGTGTGTGTGTGTGTGTGTGTGTGTGTGTGTGTGTGTGTGTGTGTGTGTGTGTGTGTGTGTGTGTGTGTGTGTGCAGTGGCAGCACATATCAGACCCGGGCCAGGGGGCGGGGCCTGGATACGGCCCTGTGTGTCTGTGTAGCTAAGGTGAAACCTGGGAGTGGAAGAAGGAGAGAAGTGACGAGGAGAGATAGAGAAGAGGAGGATATTTTTGTCTGTGTGACCCAATGCGACAATTAATGTGACACTTAAATCATATTCAATCATAACTAATCATATACATTATAATAGCCATTGTTTAAAGACTTAAAACAAAAAGTAAGGTAACTCACCAATTAATGTGACACTTGAGCCTGTTTCTCCCTCATCAGTTTTGTGAGTCTGGGGGAGATTGTTGCAACAGCTGTGACCAGGTTATTCTCCAAGTTGAGTCTGTTCCTGTGTTTAGTCTTGATGTGGGTCATGGCGGAGAATGTCACCTCACACAGGTATGTGGACCCAAAAGGCAACAGTTCATTCAGGGCATGTTTCCCCAATTCAGGATACTCCTTCTCCACACCACACCAGAACTGTGTCAGTGGTGTGCTTGAGTACCTCATCTTCAGGCTCCTATCTGAGGACACATCTATGAGGTCTTCTTGCAGTCTGGCGGGAATGCTGCTTTAATGCACGTCACAAATGGATTACGCACCCAGTCCAGTGTGGATGACTTGTTGTCAATATCAGGGAAGTAGGAGTTGAACTCATTCTTGAGCTTGGACAAATGTGTGTGTACTATTTTCACAATTGGAGCTCTGTCACATTCACCAGTAGCAATGTATGCGTTCAGCTGCAGGAAACAACTTGTATCCCTTTTTTCACATTTGCTCTGCCAGAGCTTGATCTTCTCCATGAATCCACACACTTTGTCATACAAGCTAAGAACATTTGTGTCTTTACCTTGAAGAGAGAGATTCAGCTGGTTGAGTTTGCTGAAAATATCAGAGAGGTATCCCAGCCGAGCTACCCAGTCAGCGTCGTCGAACATAGCCACAAGTGGGTGTGTGTGCTCCGACAGAAATGCCCTCACTTCATTGCGTAGCTCGAACAGCCGCTGTAACGTCTTCCCTCTGGATAACCAGCGGATGTCAGTGTGAAGCAGGAGCTGTTTATGTTCTGACCCACCGTCTTCACAAAGTGACTGAAACAGTCTATGATTCAAAGGCCTGGACTATATGAAGTTGATCACTTTTACGGCATCATTCAAAACATCGTTTAACTCTGGACTCATTCTCTTGCTAGCTAATGCTTCTCGGTGAACCATGCAGTGCGTCCATGTAACGTCAGGATTTACCTTTTTTATGTGGGCCATTAATCCATTTACTCTGCCGGTCATCGCCGCAGCGCCGTCTGTGCACACATGAGAGCTGGATTTCCAATCCAGCTTGTGTTGAGAGAACAAATTGTCAATAACGTTAAAAACGTCCTGTCCGGTAGTTCTCCCTGTGAGTTTCTTGCAAAACAGAATGTGCTCGTTTATCTCCAAAGTGTCTTTGTAACGCACAAACGCAATCAGTTGTGCTTCCCCACTGACATCCGTTGATTCGTCCAACTGCAAAGCGAACGTACCAGACGCTTGACATTTTTCCACCACTTGGTCAATGATGTAAATTCCCATGTCGTCGATCCGATGGCACACAGTATTATTTGACAACGACACTTTCTTCAGGACATCAGCTGCTTTCTTATCGAGCATAGTTTCTGCGAGAAATATAGCAGCAGGCAAGATTAGCTCTTCGGCTATGGTAAATGGCTTTTTCGATTTAGCAACGAGTAGCGACACCAAGGCCTTGGTTGAGACCGATGTCGCTTTCTTTAGTTTTTCTTGGCTTCCCTTAAATTCAGCCAGCTTTTGGTGGAAAAACTCTGCAGGCTTACCCACACAGGCGGGATGTCTAGTACTAAGGTGCCGATGTAAATGGAATGGTTTCATGCTATTATTAGAAAGCACGTCGCCACAGATGAAACACATTGGCTGCGGTGGCTCTGTAGTTGTGACCGTAAACCCGGAGAGCACATAATGTTCACCAAACTGACGATTCTTCACCTTCTCTGTTTTCATTTTCTTGAGAACGGGTTCTCCTGATTCAGCAGTATCACCTGTGCTGTTGTTTCTGGATGAACCAGCTCGACTCAGCCATTGATCCATAATGATTATGTTAACAGACATTTTGATCTCAATAAACACCAGCGCATTCACTTGATAGGATGTTGATATTTTGCTAGCTAGCAAGAAAACCAGCGCGCCACTACAATGATGATGATGATGTAACACCTGACAGTCCGGCGGGAAGCTGAACGCCGCGCCAATAATAATATATAGCCAGCAAATTATTACTTAATTTGAATGCTCCCAATTTTGGTTACATTATTACAGATTATGCATTATTCATTATTTGTGTACAGTTTTCCTGTAAAATGTTTAATAAAAAAAAATCTAAAATCACTTTTTTTTTTTTTACACTTTTCAAAATCTTTTCACGTACCCCCTGGGGACCACCCACGTACCACTAGGGGTACGCGTACCCCCGGTTGGGAAACACTGATATAGACCATTCGGCCATACGAGGACGACCGAATACGGCACTAAACGACTGAGGAAACGATAACGGGTCCCAAGGTGGATAGAACGGCATACGCAACGCTCTGGGGGGTCAAACGGCTCCGTGTGTACGCCCTATACGAACATTTTCTGATAGTGATTGCGCAATAGCAATAGCCCCGCCTCTCCCCACCTCTTCTGCTCACCTCCGCTTACCCCGCGCCATTGCTGATGTGTTTCGCCAACAACAACAACAACAACAACAATGGCGGATCGCAGAGTTGCTATCGTGCTCCGGACGCTACTGACCATGCTACAGTTCTTTGTGCAACATCTACAGC